GTATTTTTTGTATTTTTGTATTTATTGGTAATTTATTATGTTCTATTGTATTTCAATGTATCTTATTGTGTTGTAAGTCACCCCGAGGCTTCGGCAAGGGGCGGCATAGAAATGTTATAATAATAATGATGATGATGATGATGATGATGATGATGGAGCCAACTGGGTGACTTTGGGCCAGTCACAGACTCTCAGCCCAAGCTACCTCACAGGGTTGTTGTTGTGGGGATAAGATGGAGGAGGAGAATGATGTAAGCTTCCTTGAGCCCTTTGTAGGAAAAAGACAGAATATAAATCTAAAAAAGAAAATAATAAAAAAATAAATATCTACACAGGGTCCCAGCCCACCGGAGGAACCCTATGTAATCTTTGGGGAACTGATGGCAAGGCTTACAAGATCACTTGAGATCGAGGCCCAGCATCACTGTGATCCCAATACCGACAAATTTTTACAACATTGTCAAAGGTGAACAGTCGGCCGCCATCTTTTTGCCACTTATTACCACTCTTGGCCAGGCAATGATGGAACCGTGGAACTATCCTAATCAGCCTCAATCCACTTTGCAACGATACGAGGCCATGTATCGAGTCTGTAATCAGGATATTCCATTCCTCCTCCATCATCCGAGACACAACTCGATAGTTGTTGGGTCATCCCAAGGACATGAGTCGAGGGGACACACTACCCCCCGCGAAAAAGAGGGCCACAAGATCGACATGTTGGCTCGCCATATCTATGCTGCTGCAAGACTTGGCCTCCGTATTTCCAATTATGAGGCCACACTGGCTCAATACCAATACTTTATTATGCAGAAGTTAGAGAATATTACGGCTTCTCTTCAAGACCAGCAGAAAAACCTGGCTAGAATCTTCATTAAAGAGGCTATGCAGGTGGCAGTCCAGCAGCTTTCCATGGCAAGACACCATGTCGATTCCAACTCTAGAGCTCTTGTTGGTGCCGTAGCCCTCCCTCATCATGCCTGGCTCTAGAACTGCAACTTTCCAGATGAGACAAAATGCCGGATTGAAGAGATGCTCTTCGACAGTTCAGGGTTCTTCAACGTGCGGACGGATCACAAGATGAAGACTATCCATGAGTCAAGTGTTATAGCTCACCGTATGGACGTTCCGAATCAATCGCGCCGTAAGTGGTCTTGGTCTCACCCATCCTACAGATACCAGCCGTACTCGTGATTTACAGGCCGTCAGCAGTTCCGTCCCCTGCAACAGCGTCGGAAGCAACAACAACAGTGCTTCCAACAGAACCATCGTCGTCCTGATTCCGACAAATGTCAACGTTGACGGGACGGGCGAACCTCTCCTCTCCTCCTCAACCCACCTTCCCCTCTTTCCTTTGGAGATTGGCTGCAAAGTCGACTCCCCATCTGGAAGTCCATCACACTTGATCAGTGGGTTTTATCCATCATACAGCATGGATACAGAATTGAGTTCGATACCGTGCCCCCGCCGGGACCAATCCAATTTACGCCTTACTTACCGGTTCTCATTGACGAAGTCCAGCAACTTCTTCGTAAAGTAGTGATTCAACAGCTTGCACACTCCTAGGGGCTCCACGGATTCTACTCAACATATTTCACTATCCATAAGCGTGATGGTGGTCTTCATCCAATTCTGGACCTACATGGCATCAATAGGTTCATCAATATCACATTTTCAGATGACTACCCTCCAAAATATCCTTCTGTTGCTTAGGAGAGAGGATTGGTTCGCTCCTCTGGACTTGAAAGATGTCTGTTTTTCACATTACCATTCACCTGTCTCACGGGCGTCTTCTTCGGTTCACAGTCGGTTCTGACCTGTTTGAGTACAATGTCTTGCCATTTGGATTGGCTACTGCCCTCCAGGTTATTACGAAATGTGTGGCCCTGGTGTGCGCGCACCTTCGGCGCCAAGGAATTCAAGTATACCCCTACCTGGATGACTGGCTGATCATCTCCCCATCTAAGGAAGGCCTTCAGTCAGCACTTCAAACTACTTGTACCCTCTTGGACAAGTTGGGACTATGCATTAACCATGAGAAGTTGTGCCTTGTTCCCTTCCAGGTCATCAACTTAATTGCAGCCCGTCTCAATTCCACACTGCTGAGAGCTTTGCTCCCACAGAGTCGGCAAGACAATCTATGCTCATCGATCTATCGAATCCACATGGACACAGCTGTTCCAGCACTCTCGATGCAGAAAATTTTTGGCCACATGGCCTCTACAGTTGCTACAGTTTCCCACGCCAGGCTACGGATGAGACCACTCCAGTTGTGGTGCAACGGACTATTTCAGCCCCAGCGAGACAAGCCTCACTGTCTCCTCTGCCTTCTGACCCCCAATCTCCGGACTCTATCATGGTGGACTATGCGCCATAATCTGGCCGTAGGCATCCCGTTTCGTCACCTCACCCGACCCTGACTCTGTTTACCGATGCTTCCCTTACCTGGTGGGGAGCCCTATGTGCCGGCCTCTGTACACAGGGCACCTGGGATCACCAGGAGTCCACCAGACACATCAATTACCTCGAACTCCTGGTGGTCTTGAAAGCCCTTCAATCATTCGAGGACACTCTCCAGCAACACGTTGTGCAAGTTGCCTCCGACAACATTGTCGCTGTATTCTATATAAACAAACAAGGCGGGACGTAGTCCACCCCCCTGCCCCACCTGGTGATGCAACTGTGGAACTGGTGCATCCCCAGGGAGATAATCCTCCTCGTGGTTCACCTGACCAGTACTGACAACAAGGAGACCAACGCCCTCAGCAGGCAGATGTTGAGGACTCATAAATGGGAACTGGATCGTCCGACCTGCCATTGCCTCTTTCAGACCTTGGGCCCTCCAGACATAGACCTGTTCACCACCCACACATACAAGGTGTGCAGGATGTTCTGCTTCCATGCCGGCATCAGCCCGGGATTGACATGATCCCTTGGTCCTAGCCAAGATCGTCTACGTCGGTGCCACAGGAATCCTGATCACCCCCTGGTTGCCCCATCAACCATTGTTTTCTACTCTTTTCTACCTATCCTGCAGCGCCTTTCTCTACCTGCCCCTCATACCTCATCTAATAACTCAACAGGACCGAACTGTTTGTCACCCAGATCTTGCCTCACTCAGTCTAACTACCTGGCTCATTTGATGAACCACAGGGTCCATTTGGTACTGGCGGATTCAGGGACTCTTCCACTTGTCCGTCACTACTCAGATACAGCTTCCATTTCTTCGATCCCGATAGACTTCGCATCGAATCCAAGCACTCTTGATCCCGATATTCAATTTATTCTCCAGTCTGCCCTAAGACCTGCAACTCGTCGGTCTTATGAGGCCAAATGGAAATGCTTCATGTTCTTTACTGAACCCAACAGTTTTACTGCTTCTTCGATTTCTTCTCATATCCTCATACATAGATTCCTCAAGGGTTTACAGAACCTTCAACCACCACTTCGTCCAGTTATTCTACCTAGAGCCTCTCGATTTTTCTCCAGGCACTCACCCGAGCTCCTTTCGAGCCCCTGGCAACTACTGACTTGCGCCTCTTGTCTTCGAAGACTGCCTTTCTCATCACGGTGACATCTGCCAGAAGGGATAGTGAACTCTGCGCACTTAGGATAGATCTTCCTTACCTGAACTTTCATAAGGAGAAAGTCGTTCTACTGATCCGGTAGATCAGATCCGGCCTTCTTACCCAAGGTTGTGTCTCCTTTCCATATTAACCAAGACATTGTCTTACCGGCCTTTTTCCCTACGCCCGCTACTTTCAAAGTGAATCATACAGACCATCGAGCTAGCATATCAGCTTGCCAAGCTTGACTTACCTGTCATGCCCAGAGGGCATTCCACAAGGGCGGTAGCTGCCTCCTCTGCTTTTGCCGCTAGGATTTTGATCCAGGACATTACAAGGCTGCCACGTGGACTACTCCTTACACCTTTGCCAGGCATTACCGCCTTGATGTGCGTTCCAGACATGACTGCTCCTTTGGTCAGGCAGTCCTTTCTTCTTCCTTCAATGATGACACCGCCCGCCTCCAGGTCTCGTAAGCTTGCTAATCACCCATATGTGTGATGCACAGAGGCCATGACAAAGAAAGGCAGGTTGCTCACCTGTAACTGTCGTTCTTCGAGTGGCCATCTGTGCATTCACACAACCCACCCGCCAGCCCCGCTCAGTGTCGGTGAATGGTTTTATATGGTACCGTTTCTTTCTTGATACCGGTCCCGTTAGTGCTTTCTTTCTATATGGTTCAGCAGGTTTCCTGCAATGTCTCTCGCTCCTGCGAGGGGGCTAACGATCGGTCTCCAGTGGACTGAGGAAATAGCAGGAACTCCGCCCTTTTATACCATGGGGGGAGGGGTGCGGAGTTCCCTCCAAAACCGTTAAGCTTTTGAATCTTTCCAGCCATAGGCACTGCGCAGGCGCAGCACCCATATGTGTGAATGCACAGATGGCCACTCGAAGAACGACAGTTACAGGTGAGCAACCTGCCTTTTCCCTGCAGTTCTTTGTGTTTGAATGTTCAGTAAGGTAAAAGGCATTATCTGGAGTAAATGGGGCTAAGGTCATTTAGGGCTTTACGTTGTGCTCCCAGACCAACTTAACATTCTAACCAGTCTGTCTAATCCTGACAGAAGTATCTACAAAATTGATTGTGAACAAATCTGTGTTTGATTATTTGATTATTGATTAGTTTGATTATTGATTACTAGTTTAACTACATCAGCCCCTGTGTGCTATCATTTATTTGCTCAGGTTTTATGCAAATTTATTCTGCTATTCCTAATAGGGAGCAAAAGCATGTCTGAAAAGCATAGGTGCTATATATAGAAAGGCAGGATGTATATTTAAATACAAGCAACATAAGAAAAATCAAATTGAAGAGATTACATGAGGCTATACTTTTGTGGGAAAGAGTATTTTTATAAGCTTGCTTTTATATGGGTCAGTAAGATCAGGAAATAATCAAGTGACACATTTACAATGTTTTATCTGGTTTTCCAGCAATGCTATTGGCCCTTTGGTGGCCCTCTGGCTGATATATGATCAAGGTGCCGTAATGCAAGAAGCTCCTACTCCTGTTTGGCTGCTACTGTATGGAGGTATTGGCATCTGTGTGGGCCTCTGGGTCTGGGGCCGAAGAGTGATCCAGACAATGGGAAAAGACCTCACACCCATCACACCTTCAAGGTATTGCATGTTTACTGGATGTAGTTACCTTGAAATCATCTAATGCTGTGTTTTGAGAAATTCTGCCATTGTATGTGTGTGGTTAATTTTTCCTGCTTTTGATTTGAATTGTGATTTGTGTTACCTCCTCCTTAAACCAATATGATGTGTTTGAACTGTGGAGGTCTAGCTGAATGGAATAGTCTGCCAATGTCTTGAATAGCACAGAGAGACATAAATAAGCAAATGGCAAAAAACAAAATAGTTTTCCATAAGCTTTTCAGCAACTAAAATGTATCTATGATTTTTATTTGCTTTTAATGAATACTAGACCTCTGCTGCTAACCTAATTACTAATTAAGCATGATTTCTTGGAATGTAGAATAGATTGCCAGTAGCTATGAGCCACTCAGCTAATTTAATGCATATACATGTGCAGTTTCTGTTACTCAGCAACTCCTTGTTCTCTTAATATCATTCTGTCACTCAAATGACCAAAAATCAGTTGGAGAGAAACTGTTGGAGAAGATGCTGGTAAGACTTTGGCATGTTGCATGGTGTCAGCCCAGACTGATAGATTAAATTTAAAGAAAAGAGTGACTGTGAAGTGTTTTCTTATGCTTCCTGCAGTGGATTCACTATTGAGTTGGCTTCGGCGTTCACAGTTGTGGTAGCTTCCAATGTTGGACTTCCTGTCAGTACTACACATTGCAAGGTATGCTTTGCCATGTGACTGCAGCCAGGCTGGTCTGGACTGTTCTTTTTTTTTTTTTTTAACTCTGCTGCTCAGATCAGTTTATAGTGGCATGATACCACAATAGGGAAATGTAAAATGGGTGTGTATATGCAGGAACTCCCCCCCCCGCCCCATTTATAAAGTATATGAATGGGCAGGTCTTTGGTTTCCTTTAAAATATCTCATTTTCCATATATTGTATAATTGAAGATTGATTTTCTTTCATTACCTATGTGAGATTTTTCAGAATCAAGTGTACATTCACATTCATTTCCACTACTTTTCAGTGAATCTGCAAATATGCCATTTCCTACATAGTTATACAACTTCACAAGAGACTACTGAATGGCCGTAGACCATATAATACCACTCAGGTAAACAGGGTTTACTCATGCAGTAACCAGAAATCTAAATGGCACTTGCCTATTTGGGTAAAACTATAAAACAGAAACCATCCATATTATGTTGTGCTTGAGTGCCACCCCAGAATCTGCAGTCATACCTTACCTGTTCTGGGTAGCAGTAAGGTTTCCTCAGGTCATGCCACATGAACTTTGATCTGCTGCACCCTTCTCTGTCCAGAGGTTCTGACACTTTTCATCCTTCATCCTTTTCACTTTCCTGGTGAATGCATGGCATGGGACTTCCTATGTGTCACTGTTACATTACAAAATCTCCATCTGTATTTTTTTATTTCTTCACAGTGGATTTTGCATTGAAGTAATGTGTGCGCTAACCGTACTTGTAGCCTCAAATGTGGGTATTCCAATAAGCTCCACTCATTGCAAGGTATTGGAGTTTGCAGTGGTCGTGCCAATTAAACACACAGTATTTTAAGAACAGAAAGGGACCAATCATAAGTAATGATTTCCCCATTTTGCCTTCAGTTTATCAAGCTGTTACTTTAATTTAAAAAAAAAAACTCAAAATACAGCATTCTGAATTACTTTCAAAATTACTTTGAAAAATCTGACTACTTTCCCCAAGCGTTAAGATGCTATTTTATTTTTTAATGATTATTAGGATGGGTAGCTTATTATTCTAACTACTATTTATAATTGTAGTATTCATGTTGTAGTTTATTAACAAGTGACAATCATTTTAAAATTTAGTATTCTTGCTTATATGCATTAAATTTCTTTGTGCTAGCTTTGCACTAACAGTTTTAGACATTTAATTTTCCCCCAACAGATTTGCACAGTTTGTCATATAGAACACTAGTAGATTATGGCATGCAGAATTTTAGCGAGCACCACAGATACACTTCTGTAAATGTCACAAGAATGCTTGGTTCTGTATCTCAGAGTCTGAAGGCAAATGGTATTTAGTTTTGAGTCAGTTGAAAAACAACTTGAAAACAAATTGTTCTAGCTTTTTAACAACAAATCAAATTGCTTTTCTAACCTGTATTTTCCTCAAAACTTAGTATGCTAAACTTAGATAATGTTTAGAAATGGGACTACCAAAGCCAGTTTCACTGATGCCCTTTTTAAACTGGGAAAATTTATTAAATATAACACAGTATAAGTTGTATCTTTTTAAATGAATAATTTTTAAAATCAATTTTAAATAAAATTATAGTGCGTTTGTGTTCAATTTAAAGCAGCATTCCTCATCCTTTTCACACCTGAAACTTAGTTTTAACTTCACTTATAGCATGGGACCCACATTATTTATTTACGTATTTATTTGCTATATCTCAATTTTCCCCTTTCTCAGATTCGTTTCCTAGTTTCCCCTCTCAGAAACAACAATAATCCCAAATGACAAAGTAGTGATACTAGTGGTATAACCCACCAGTTGGAAAAATGTAAGGAAATTTCAGAGCAGTTAATGAGGCAGAATGTTCGGAGAAAGCAGGAACAAATATTTGCAAGCTGATAAATGTATGAATATATCATATTCTCTTTTTAAAGAAAATGACAAAAGATTATAGCTTGGACGGTTTTTTTGATACTTTATCAGTCAAGCAACTACCATTTTCTGGTATGAAAAAGAATGGCATATGCTGTCCAAAGTCCATGTAAGGAGTGCTCAGAAATGAGAAAGTTACGGCATGCATTTCAGGGAGCAGAAAAAGCAGAGCACAGAAGCAAACAGTAGGGATACAGAACCTGAGGCAAAGTACAAGATAGCAAGCCTGCCACTAGTTGAGCCTCATATCAACACTGACAATAGGACAATGTCTTTTACTGCACCTGAGGGCAGCAGACTCCCAGGGGAGGAATGCAGGGCAAGATGCATGGCAAACACAGTGTTTTCCTCCCAGCACCTTGTTCTGCGTAGCACCTGTTTGCTTAAACAAGTGTTGCAGCACCAGTACCAATCTGTGTCAAGTGAGCAGCTTGAGGCACATTCAGTTCGAGGGCATTGGCCAATTGCTTCTGGTTGTTAGCTCAGTCAAGGGTCTTTCTCAAAGCCAGCATCTTCGGTGTGTTGGGGAAAAGGCAACTGACTGCCTTGGCTGCCTTGTCCAGCAGTAAGTATGCAAGCACTGCCTGCAATGAAGCACAAAATCAGTATCCAGAAGCCAGTTGCTGTCATCCTTCGGCATCTGCTGCCCAGTGCAGCTAATCTCCTTCTGCCTAATAGTTGGACTGGGTTGATGGATTCTCTGAGCTGTATCCAATATTAGTTCTGCTTGGAGTAAACCCACTAAAATGAATGGCACTTCAGTGGACCAGTATTGCATACAGCCTGGGCTGGGACATACTGCATCAAGAAGAGATGGTGTCAGTGGTATTCAAACAACATGCGTTGGTTTAAAGTATGAAAGTTTGCAAGAAATATTTGTTAGCTCTTAGTAAGATAACTGTCTGTCCCATCTTTTTTCCTGCTGCAAGGAACCCACAATGGCTTACATGATCTTCTCTCCATTTTTTCCTCAAAACAGCAGTGTGAGGTTTGTTAGGCTGAGAGTCAGTGACTGGCCTAAAGTCCCCCAGTGAGTAGAATGGCTAGCTGAGGACTAGAACCTGGCGTCCCCAAATCTCAGTTCCACACTCAAATGCTATCCCACAACTGACCCTCTGAGATCCCAAAGAGTTCACAGGGGGTGGGGAATGTTTTTCTTCTTGCAACACCTGCTCATGATTCCTGGAGTGTCTGTCTGGCAGCAGTGCTGATCATCAGGCAGTCATAATTAGATGTCATGGAGGCTGTAGAAAAAGAGCTAAGAAACCCTGTGTACATGCAGTAATGAAAAGCCCATTTAAACTGAAGCAAACACATCATTTATAGGGACAGATTTTTTTTGCCAGTAATTGCTTTCTAATAACTTTTGTCAAACTCATGAATTTTGGAATTGGTTTGATCAGAGATGGTCTTATGACTAGAATATTTAAGGCTAACTGGATTGAATTAGTCTGTTGGAACATTACATCTCAGGAATCTATCTGACTTGATCTTTAAATGTACTGTTCTACAGAGAGAACATACTGTACATGTGAAATAGGTGTTTCCAGAATAGAATAGGGCAGTGGACATTTATTATTACAAGAAAGTTTAAATTTTTTGTGTTCCTTCTGGGGAGGGGTCATGGTATAGTAGTAAAACCAAAAGTTTTGTATGCAGGTGGCCCTCTGACCTTTCCAGTTAAATATGGGCTTGGGTTGCAGGGCTGGAAAAGCCCTCTCTCTATTTGAGAAATTGAAGAACTGCTGCCAGCCTGACTAGATATATTGAACTAGATGGACCAGTAGCTGAGTTGGTATAAGGCAGTTTTTCATATGTGAGTATGACACACAGGATTACACAGTGGGGAAAAGACTAGATATGTTGTTTCAGATTATTCTGTCATAAAGAATCTGATACAATAACTTTAGTCAGTACACCATAGCCAACATTCTGGACAGGATCAGAATTTGAACCATTCTTATTAAGTGCCCTTCCTTTCACAAATGACTTCCTCTGATACTTAGAGGAGCTCTACATTAGCTCCTAATGTTTTGCAGGAAGAGGAATGTGAAATTGTTTAGCCTATCTTTAGGAAAGATGGCTGCCTTGAAGTTACTGCACTTTTGTCTTGGTAGTATGAATAGCAGTCTTAATGGCACTTAAGAGAGAAATTAGGTTAAGCACATGGGAATGGTTAGTTCTCATGTAGGATTAATCATAATCAAATATGGAGCTGAGCATTTAGGACTGGAAAAGATAAGTGGTTATTGGTGTTGTTATTTGCCCTCATCCAGTGATAACTTCAGGCAATTCCTAAGTTGGCAATGATCAGAACAGGAAACACTTTTATAAACTAGCCTTTCTGGCACATCTGAGGTAATACAAGAAGAGTACCAATGATGAGCTTTCTAGCTTCTAAAAATAATCTTACTCTTGCAAGGGTATGAGTGCTGCATAGGCTTTGTACCTAAGTGAATCTTGATTCAAAATTCCAAAAAACTGTTCTTCACTTTCGGAATCTAGCTCTGCCACCCATTTACTACATTTTGTCCGAGAGATGCTTGGCACTTCCATTTACAGATGCATTCAAAGGACAGAATGTTTTACTTGATACCCTTACTTGCAGAAAGCATTGTTTACTGCAACTGGTATAAGGTCTTTAACTACAGAGAAATATCAGTCAAAGCTAGAAAAAACTACTGCCATAGAATCTAAATGTTGCAAGGCACTTCCTAAATTCCAAATAGATACAGTCCTCCTACTCCTTCACAAATGGTTCCTCACCTGTGTGAAAATGAAGCAGGAATTCAGATTTCAATAGTTAGCAGTAATCAGAAGTTGTGTAATTCTGGGCATCAGCTGACTAGCATTGGTTTTGTCATAGACAGGAGTCCACAAATGTCTTTGCTAGGTTGCCAGTAGCTGGTGTCAATCTTCTAGTATCCATTGGGTGTCCAGTAGAAAGTGAGAGGCTTTATTGTCAAAGAAAACTGGAAGCTGGGACATTACATTTTATACCACACAGAAATTCATATAACTCAGTATGGCATAAGTCACTGAAGTGATCAGCCTTGTTTCATGCCAGGCTTTGGTGACATGTGCTATTTTTGAGTGCTTTCAAACACTGATGTGGAGACTGACCAAGCCCTTTCCACTGAATCATCTGCATGTGCCGGAGAGCTAATTGGGCAGGGGAAGATAGAGGATTACCTGAAATAATGGCTGACTACTAAAGGCAAGCAAAATTTATGGACTCCTGGTCATAAGCATTACTCTTGTTAAGAAGCATTTAATTCTAACTTTTTTTCCTCAAACTTCCAAGGTTGGTTCTGTGGTAGCAGTTGGCTGGATCCGCTCCAAGAAGGCTGTTGACTGGCATCTCTTTCGCAATATCTTTCTAGCCTGGTTTGTGACTGTTCCTGTAGCTGGCTTATTCAGTGCTGCTGTTATGGCAGTCTTAATGTATGGTATCCTGCCATATGTCTGATCTGGTGTTCCTTCCAGGAAACAAGGGAGTCTCTCTTTGAAATAAAACGGCAAGATTTCTCCCTCATAGTACAACACTCCCTGTTCAAACCATACTGTAAGAGCTAATCAGCGAGGCTTTATCTTCAGTATCTAACATCTACTGTATATCATCAGTGTCACTGGTTAATTTTAACACTTTGGTGCCGTTTTCTTATGTATTAAAGAAATATATATATATGCTTATAGTAGATAACACTACCGTAAATTATAAGTAACATGAAAATAATTGCCTGGAAGTGAATCTCTAGTAAAACTTGTACATAATGTATCATTTAGTGGCATTTTTAATCTTTTAGAGAAGCTGGGATGTTTGTCAATTTCATATATAATGAAGCAAAGTGCAAAATGGTTATGATACTTTTAAAAAATATTATGTTTAATGATACTAGAACAAAGCACTGCAGAGTACAGTGGGAAAAACATGATTCATATCATATTGTTGCTTATAATACTGTATGGACATTGATTTTATAAATACTTACAAAAATGTAGCTTTTTAACAGTGTATTTCCCTGTATATTTTGGATAAGAATGTTTAGAAAGTACCAAAGAATGGGAATAGCTTGTCAGTATTATATTGTTTATCTGTGTGTGTGTGTGTGTGTGTGTGTGCATGTGTGCACTTTTTCTCTCCTCCCCAAATAACTTTCCAATAAAAGTTATTTTCTATGCATTGGCCACCGACATAGATTTCAGTTTTACTGTAACTAGCAAAGTGTCATACTGTTACAGTCTATTTATCGAATGTTATCCATATAGATAAACCTAGTTTCCATATGTGTCACACCTCAGATTTCTTCAAACAAGTGCCCATCATCCTATATGATTCCAGTTCTACTTGCACAACATCCATCTATTAGCAAGTTCAGGAGAAGGTGAGGATTGAGGCTGTTTTGCTTTGCTTCTGTTGCCTCCAGTAAGTCTCAACTATACAATGTCAACTGAAGAATGATACACTGCATATTGGTGGTGGCAACAGGGGTCAAGTTAGGCTAGTTTGGGTTTTTAATTAGTAGTCAAAATGTTTGAACTGGCTGTTTAAAATTGTCATACAAATAACTGTTTAAAGGAGGAACAAAAATAAGAGCCACTACTGATACCAAACTTGAGCAGGTTGATAGCTGCTGAAGCATGGCTCTTTCCTTAATCCTGTGACTCAGTAATATTATATAATAAGTCTGAGGCCATGTCAAAGAATCCAGACTTCTGCTTTTAAGGTGAACATTGCTGTAGTTCAGTGCTGACATGGGAAGGAGCTGCAGCATGAGCTCTTAACAGTGTCACTTGGGATGTAGGATGCTACCAAGGATGGCTGATTGGAAAGAATGCAGTAGCTTCTGCGTTGCTAAAATTATTACAGAGAGACCTTTTACCTCTTTATGAAGAGGCATCCTAGTCTGCCAGTCCCGTGTACTTTATAAGCTGAATGTACCATGCTACTGAACAGGCCTAATGGTTTTTGGCCTTAGAACTTCAATTTTCTGTAATTCTTTGGCTATCCACCTGATAAAGTGTTTCCCTTGTTATATAAAGAGCCTGGCAGATACCTGGTGGAATCCAGTTTCTGTTGCCATGGAAACCTTGAGCACAGACTTCTAGTAAGTTCTCTTGCACAAGTCATATCGAAATTTTGCTATTGTATAGCTCCTGTTTGTTTCCTTTGTGCAGGAGTATTTCCCAAAAAATTGCTTCTTGGCATTTGAATAATTATTATTGTGGTGGTGCTCTGGTTGGGTTTCCTGGAGGTGGTTTGAGAAAGCAGTGCTTACAAAATGCTGGGAGCTAGGACTGTTGAAATGCTGCTAAACTTTTGATACATGAGCTTTCTTGGTACTCCATTGTGATTCTTTTTCATTGGTAAAACATTCTAAATTTATAATAAAAATTAATTATCCTAGGACTGCTGTCTTTTTGACTGTTTCTTAATTCTACTGTTATGTATGCTTTACTATTTACAACCAGCTTGCTTACAAATTTCTTCACACAAACATTCCTCTCTGTTCTGCCTTTTTATAATTCTTTTGTTTGTTCTCCCACTGTTTGAGCTCAGAATTTTGTAACATGCACACACACACACACACACCCTACATGCCCTTGCCAAAGCCCAAATAAAACCAAGCTCTGTGTAATACAAACAAAACCTTCCATTTATTTGTCTTGGGACTGTTTGTCCCAGGAAACAGCTCCCCTTCTGAATTACGATAGCCCTCTTTTGATGGTAATCCTTTAATGAACATTTCATACACAAGGATGTAAATGAATGCGTTTCTGTGACATTAGAGCATAAGATATTCATACTGTTGTCATGGACATAATTGGGCAATTGAAAGCCAAAAGAAGTCTTAGATTCCTTTTTATTTAAGACACAATGCTGCTGTGGTTCTTGGTTTTCAAATTCAGCTTTGCAGAGTTTTCATCTCATAAGTATCTGAACTCATGGCTCATGACTGGGTGATATAACCCACTAATGACAGATCTTGCAAGTAATTTAAGCTCTTGATGAAACTTAAACAATTTAATCATGTTTTACTACTTGCACACACAAGAACGCTAAGGAACTTCTTTGCAGTCTGGAATATATCTCTTAAGGTTGGGAAATAAAAATACCTTCTTGTTATCTGAGCCTAGGCACTTTCCAGAGAACTAGTGCCACTTGATGCTAATACTGTTAGATAAAACATGTATGTCTAAACATTCAGTGTAGCTTAAAACTTTTTTGTGAGTCCTAGCAAGGCTGTGTGACTCTCTATTAGTGATATGACTTAGTAAAACTTACCAGGGCTGCATGCATATAAGTCCACTGATGGAATAGGGAATGAATATTTGTGCCTGAAAGTCAAAGTACATTTTTAAAAAATGATTTTTAAACAAAAGAGCTAGCATACTTGTCCATTATGAATTCCTTGGGAAACTTTGCACCTCACAATAAGCAAGCCAGAAAATAAGCCACTAATTCAACAGATGATCAGGGACTCTTATTTTATCCATCAGTCCTTGTGCCAGCTCCTGGGATGTATCCCAGGCACCTCTGTGGCAGAACTCATCATTTCTTTGGTCCCTTGTCATTATTCTTTCAGCAGTTGTTCTGCTGGGGTTATAAGCTCATAAGGAAACATCAGTACTGCCAGTATCAGTGCACCAAATCAGATTAATTTTGTGAACACTTTTTGCCCAAGTACATAAGAGTACCTGCCCTCTATTTAGATCAACATACCCTTATCCTCTCCTGTCAGTATCATTTTCATTTTTGTCCTCCACTTCCGTGCTTGCCTTGCTAGTAGCAAACACCTTTATGT